GGGTTTCACCGTGTTAGCCAGGATGGTCTCGATCTCCTGACCTCGAGATCCACCCGTCTCGGCCTCCCAAAGTGCTGGGATTACAGGCTTGAGCCACCGCGCCCGGCCTTATTTTTAGCTATTATCTAAGACCACTGGAAGGTTTGTTCTTGTGGCTTCTACTCTCTCAGAATATCATGTTTATTTTATTTATTTTTAAAGCTTTTATAAAGTTATAAAGTTTTATTTTAACTTTAAAATTTATTTTTAACTGGCAATAATGTATATTTATGGGGTACAATGTGATGTTTTGATCTATGTATAGATTATAGAAAGAGTCAGTCAAGCCAGGCACGGTGGCTCATGCCTACAATCCCAGCACTTTGGGAGGCCGAGGCAGGTGGATCACCTGAGGTCAGGAGTTCGAGACTAGCCTGACCAACATGGTGAAACCCCATCTCTACTAAAAATGGAAAAAATTAGCCAGGCATGGTGGCAGGTGCCTGTAATCCCAGCTACTCAGGAGGCTGGGGCAGGAGAATCACTTGAACCTGGGGGGTGGAGGTTGCAGTGAGCCAAGATCACGCTGTTGCACTCCAGCCTGGGTGACAACAGCGAAACTCTGTCTCAAAAAAAAAAAAAAAAAAAAGAATAAATCAAACTAGTTAAAATATCACATCACCAAGGTTTTTTTTTTTGTGGTGAGAATGTAAAAAATTCATGCTTTTAGCAAATTGGAATACAGAATACATTATTATTAACTGTGGTCATCACACAGGGCAATAGATCACTATAACAGTTCCTCCACTCTGAGACTGAGCAACATCTGCTCCATCCCCAGCCTCTGATAGCCACCTTTCTACTCTGTTTCTATGGGATCTACTTTTATAGATTTCACAAATAAACGAGATCATACATATCTGTCTTTCTGTGCCTGGCTTATTCAACTTAGCATAATACCCTTCAGTTCCATCCATGTTATCATGAATGACAGATTTTACTTATTTCTAAGGGCTGTATAGTATTCCATTGTGTATATATACCACATTTTCTTTATTCATTCTCTGTTGATGGACATTTAGGTTTGTTCCACATCTTGGTTATTGTGAATCATGCTGAAATGAACATAGGAATACAGATATCTCTTCAACAGACTAATTTCAATTCCTTTGGATATATACCCAGAAATAGGACTGCTGGATCATGTAGTAATTCTATTTTTAGTTTTTTGAGGAACCTCTATACTATTTTCCAAAATGACTATACTTAGATCTCAGCTTTCTTGAGAGCAGGCAGTCATATCTGATTAATTCACTCTGCATATACTGCAAAGAAGCATGTGTGTGCATGAACTGTGTGTATTTGTGTATATGTATGTGTATGTGTTAGGGAGAAGTGCAGAATAAATATACCCAACTCTTGACTATTTATAGACATTATCTAGGTCTTTATTTTTTTCTCCTCTTAATCTCAAAGAAAACTGAGGAAAGGAGGAAGTAAAAAGTAAATTTTTGACTGAAGATGTCTGGAAAAAGTACCAAATAAAGTGAGATAGTGGGTAATCTAGTGATTTTTATTTTTCCATCCTCTTTCTGGCCCCCAATTGTGAAATAATTTACAGCACTATAAGAAAGAAGCCACAAATTGTGGTAGCTTAGACCACTGTTGAGATCTGGAATCAGAATTCCAATGTTCAAATATTGGTCCTACCAGTTATAAGCTCTATGACTATGAGCAAAATACTCAACTTCTCTATCTTCAGTTACCCTGTACAAAAATTGGGAATATCAACGATGCCATCTTTATTGCATTGTAAGAACTAAATAATTCAACATGTGGAAAATAGCATGATATCAGGGATATAGAGTGTGTTTACAAATGGTAACCATTATTAATATTGATAGTGATAATTTTATTCATTTCACATGGCATTAAGTACCAAGCTCTATAGGAATCAGAAAATAAAGGCTTATTTCTTTTTCTTCTCTATTGTCCAGCTTCCTACAGGAAAATAAACACTCACATCCTAAAGGTTCCAGAAACAGATGAGGTAGAGCTCACATGCCAGGCTACAGGTTATCCTCTGGCAGAAGTATCCTGGCCAAACATCAGCGTTCCTGCCAACACCAGCCACTCCAGGACCCCTGAAGGCCTCTACCAGGTCACCAGTGTTCTGCGCCTCAAGCCACACCCTGGCAGAAACTTCAGCTGTGTGTTCTGGAATGCTCAAGTGAGGGAACTTACTTTGGCCAGCATTGACCTTCAAAGTAAGAGCTGCCCCCACTTCCTAGGTCTATCAGTCAGGGTTCAGGCAAGAAACAGATGGCACACTTCAGTGACTGGAGGAGAGTGTAATAAAGGGACTATTTATGAAGGTGTGATCAGCATTTGTAGAAACTACAAAGGATAGTGCAGAACACTGGGGCTTCAATATTGGGAGAGTAATTACCGCTGTTGGAGAAGTTACTGGAATCAGAAGGCAACTGTAGGGAAAGCCCCATTTCACAGAAGCTGTAGCTACAGAATAGGGAAGCTGCCACCTGCAGCAGCTCCAAAGGGTGGAAGCTGGATGAATGAATACCCCAACCTCATTTTCCTCCCACCCTCCAATCTCTTGCTAGTGCCTTCCATTGGCTGAACCCTGCTAGAAGTCAGAGAATACAAGGGTCCACTGTTGTATTCCATAAAAGTCAACTTCTCAGGGCTCAGAGCAGTGTTGAAGTGTACAGAACAGATCTGAAGAGGAAACAGAAAATATCTAGTACAATAGCTAATCACTGTGACTCATGCACAGTGTCATAAGCCAGCAGAATGAATATTTCTTTGCTGTATTTGCTGCCAGTCAGCTGGTTATGGGGTTTTTCCAAGAAATTTGGTCTCTTACAAAATCCTTCAGAGCCTTGACTGGCTATGCTGGATATTTTTGGAAGGGATCCCATACTTTTGATCTTCATACACCAGCAGAATTTCAAACAATCTTGGGAGAATAACAACTTTTATCTGCCAAGTAAGCACAACAAACACCTAGTATCACAATCATTTTGCAAGAGACAGGAAATCCCATCACCAAGTGCATATGTTTCCTAATGCTCCTATATCAAATTACCACAAACTTCACAGTTTAAGACAACACAGATTTACTATCTGATACTTATGGAGGCCAGAAAGCCAGACTTGAGTTTCACTGGGCTCAAATCAAGGTGTCAGCAGGATTGCAGAGGCCCTAAGGGAAGATTCCACTTTCCTGTCTTTTCCAGCTGCTAGAGGACACCTGCATTCATTGCCTTATGGCCCCTCCATCTTCAGAGGCAGCAACCCCATCATTTAGCCCTCTGCTTCTGTCACCACATCTCTCTCACTCTCTCTCTCTCTCTCTTTTTTTTTTTTTTTTTTTTTTTTTTGAGATGGAGTCTTATTCTGCCGCCCAGGCTGGAATACAGTGCCACTATCCTGGCCCACTCCAACCTCCGCCTCCCGGGTTCAAGCAATTCTCCTGTCCCAGCCTCCTGAGAAGCTGGGATTACAAGCACATGCCACCATGACTGGCTAATTTTTGTGTTTTCAGTAGAGATGGGGTATCTCCATGTTGGCCAGGCTGGTCTCAAACTCCTGATCTCAGGTGATTTGCCTGCCTTGGCCTCCCAAAGTTCTGGGGTTACAGGCGTGAGCCACTGTGATCAGCCACATCTCTTTCTCTAACTAGCTTGCTTCTCTTTGCCACCTCTTAAGGACCCTTGTGATTGCATTAGGTACTGCATCCCCCCGGTTATTCAGGGTGATCTTCTCATCTCAAAGTCCATCTTCAAAATTCCTTTTGCCATGTAAGGTGGTGACATATTCACATGTTCCAGGGATTAGAATATGGACATCTTTGGAGAGAGCCATCATTTTATCTACCCTACTGAGAAGAGATATACTGTCAGAATAAAGGACAGTCACTAGTACTGATTCAATTTGGCTTTATAGAAAATTCACTATAATGTCATTGTATTTCACATTTTGCCATTGTCTTAGCTGGGTAAGACAGAGCCTATGATAAGGACTTGTGTGGCATGCAGGTATTTAACTGGTAACCCAAGAGGGCAGAAACAAGAGATTTAGGAGTTTAAGAGAGAATAATATAAGAGTATATTATCAAAGTTGTTTGTGTGGGCAACAGAAACTCAAATATTCAAGGACCAGCATGTAGATAGCCTCCTAAGATGTCTACTCAAAGAATTTCAGGTGGAAGGACTTGTTCATCTGCTTCACGTCCATTGGTTGACAGGAATATGAACTCCATTCTGCTGCTGGGCTTAAGACATGCATGTGGGCTGAGTGAGCTTTCCCCAGCATCCGTAGCATCAGAAAAGTCTCAGAGCAGAAAGAAAAGTATCCAATTTGAGGTGAGTTACTGACCTTGAAGTGAGTGTAAGCCCACCCAGAATTCTATTCCAGCTGGCTGAAGTGAAAGGTGGGGCTGAGAGGAAATAAGGCAGGACTTCAGAGTCCCCACTTGTACTGTTCAAATCCACTCAAGCCCTACATTAAGTTGGCTCTGTCACTGAGCCTTCCAGCTGGGAGGGAGCCACAATCTCTGTGAAAGATTTAATGTACACCAGTTTGTGGAACAAGCTGCAGTTCCTGCTGCTGCTGTTGATCCCAAGCCACAGGTGATATCTGTTGTCTCACTCATCCACCATACATTCCAGATTTCCCTCACCCAACACCTCAGATGGAATGGTTTCTTTGCCTGATAGGGTGACCCAGACTTACGACCCTAAGAGATCTAAGCTTTTGATCCTCATGTCCTTAACAGACTGGGGTTGTTGCAAATATCTTTTCATTATCACTGGATATGGAAGTAAAAAGAACCAGTGAATCAGTGGACCCCTGAGTTCTAAACATACTCTTCCTTGTCTCCATTATATAGCGGTGTTCAAGATTTTCATGATAATCAAGATTGATTACTCTACCAGTATGGTAATTTTTTCTTTGCCCACTGGTCTGCCAATATTAAGAGCTCAAGGTGGCCAGGCCAGTAGCACAGCTTTATATGCGGTAGGACAAACACAGTATCCCCTGCTAGAATTCCCTATAGGAAGCCAGACAGACCTTTGATCCAGCAGAGCCTAAATGTGCGGGGTTGAACGAACTTCTATAAGTGAGTCATTGGAAGTAATGGTGAGAGGAGCCAACCTACAGCATTGGGATAGCCCTGGTACAGACACAGAACATGCTTGAGGAGGTTGTCGGGAGGAAGTGAATTAGACCTTGCACAGAACTACCACCATCAAGTACAGTTGGCGTGAGGCAGACATGGTATGAGTTGAGGCATCAGAGATATATGATTCTTTATCCCAAATTAAAATTAATTTTTTTCATGGAGTGACACTGATCCACAGACCAGACTCTAAGAACTTTGCAGTGACTGAATACCCATCTCATCATTACTTTCCTGGTATTTTCTTCTGGAAAAAATTATTCCCTGATACAGTTTTCAGAGGCAGCTAGATGTACTGTCATCTCTCCCCTCTTTCCACTTCCCTACCTATCCGCAGTTTACTACCCAATGCCAACACTAAAATTAGCCCAGCTTCTTTACAACTAAATTATTAGTTTAGAAAGAAAGATAGGAGTCATGCTAAGGACCTTAACTGAAATCAAAACATTAGAGGCTGGGCACAGTGGTTCATTCTGTAATCCCAGTACTTTGGGAGGTCAAGGCAGGAGGATCACTTGAGCCCAGTAGATTGAGGTTACAGTGAGCTACAATTGTGCCACTGTACTCCACTCCAGCCTGGGCAACAGAGTGAGACTCTGTCTCCAAAAAAGAAAAGGAAAGGGGAGAGGAGAGGAGGGGAGGTAGGGAGGGGAAAGAAAGAAACTAGAAATCCATCAATTTTAGGACCAACTTCAGGTAAAAAAATGAATTAGGCAAGTTGGTCTTTCAACATTCTCTACCTCTCTTTATATCATGGTTAAGACCATAGACTTCTCACCTCATGAAAGATGAACTCTAACTAATTCATACTAAAGCTAAAGCCTCTAAGGAGGATTAAATATGAGCAATCCCAGGATAACTTTTTTTCCCTGGAATTGTTTACTCAACTGTCCTTTGTTATGTGGAATTTTCTGCCTGGTTAAGTGTAGGCCAGTACTTTGGATGAATTGTAGTTTTCTAGAAAGATGCTTTTTATATAAGAACCTCTCCAGGGAAATAGGCGCCTGTATAAGATGAATTTAGAAATAACTAGAGTCCACCCTTTACATCACTGATTATGTCAGTGTTTTATTCTGCATGGTAGAGAAGTGAAAGGGCAGACTGACCATTGCTCTGGAAGCCTTTATGCTGTGAAAAGTTAACAGCAGAGTAAAATGGCCACCCCGCTCTCTCCACGGGAGCCAACATGGCTGACTAAATAGTCAACAACCACAGGAGAGACCTGTGGGGTCTTCCTCAGAGCTCAGGATCTCCTAGGGTATCACTCATAAATGCAGCCATCAGGGAGATGGAGAAATCTTTGTGTAGTTAGAAATTCTCAACCTGGTTTTACTCATCCTTCCCAGGTTTGTATTTGTCCTACTGTTCACTGACATGGATCCTCTGCTTCATTAACCATCCCTTCCTCACCACATGATCTCTGAACGTGGTTGTACCTTTTCTACCTCCATGACTTCTTTGCTCAGGTTTGTCCACATAAATATCATTATTTTTCTCTCTACTAGCTCCAGGCCCCCCCTCTCTCTGGGGCAGCTCAGTCACTCCAGGGCACAAGGGAGTCTTTCCCTCATCCCACATTTTGAGACCTATTACCTGGACCATTTGTTTGCCTTATAACTATGCTTGCCTTTTTAATTGCTATTTTATTTTCCATGTATTTTCATTGTTCACACATGTCTTCTTTATTCTACACTAAGGCAGAAGCAGAGTGCTGTGTTCATAATAAGTGCTCAACAAATGTTGGGTTGATGGGTTGGAGACTTCATCTTACATAATACCAGTCCCATCATCCCAGCTACCAGACTGTGTGGACAGCCAGGTCAAAGCAGCCAAATGATATTCTAGCTTGTGGCACAAATACTAGCAACAAAATAACCAAAGTCACACATCTGCCTCATTATATCATTGCTAAGAGTATGCAATTATTGACCAGGCACAGTGGCTCATGCCTGTAATCCTAGCACTTTGGGAGGCTGAGATGGGTGGATTGCTTAAGGCCAGGAGTTCAAAACCAGCCTGGCCAACATGGTGAAACCCCATCTCTAATAAAAATACAAAAAATTAGCTGGGCACGGTGGCAGGTGCCTGTAATCCCAGCTACTCATGAGGCTGAAGCAGGAGAATCACTTGAACCAGGAGGCAGAGGTTGCAGTGAGCCAAGATCATGCCACTGCACTCCAGCCTGGGCAACAAGAGTGAAACTCCGTCTCAAATAAATAGAAAATAAATGAATAAATAAATAAATAAAATGTCAAAAGAGTATGCAAGGATTTTAAAACAACTTAGAGGAATATGTATTAGGATACAGACTAAGCTACCATAATGAAGAGACCTCAAAATATAGTGAGAAGAAAGACAGAAGTTTATTTCTTTCCAGGTAACACTCAGGTGGTTCAGAGCAGCTAAGTAGCTATGTTCCATAGAGTCATTCACTGATCCAGGTTCTTTTCATCCTGTTGCTCTGCCATTCTCCAGGATGTTGTCCCTATAAAATTGCCAAAGCTCAGTCAGTGCCAAACCCATGTTTCAACCTTCAGAAAGTAAATGAGTGGTGGAAGACGCATTCAATGTTTTAAGGTGAAGACCTAGAAAACTCACTCTCTTAGCCTGAACTTAGATGACACAGCTGGGCCCACTTAACTACAGGGTAGGCTTGAGAAGCCATATGTCCAGCTAATTCCTTAATACGAGAGTTGAAAGAAAGAATGGATTAACCAGCAGTATACCACAAGGTAACAAATGACTAGGAGGATTAGGCTAGGTGGACTAAAAGACAGTCAATTCAGTGCAACAATTCCATATTGACACTTTTCATGTAGCTGTTGCTTGGCTCTAGAGAGGACTCAGAGGTAGTTTAGATAAGGCCTTTGTCCTCCAAATACAGTCTAAGTAGACTGATGTCCTACTGGATGTTCAACTTTGGAGTCTTCAGGGATGAGTAGAGCTTCTGTACGTGGAAGAGACTGTGAGGGAACCTGCACAGGACAAGGGTTTGCATAAAGACACTGAGGTAGGGACCTCTCCTGTTGTGGGGACAGTGAGAGGCCCAGTTCTCCTTGACTCACATCCAGCAAGTGCTTATTAAGCACTTCCTAGAAATTAAGAAGCAGATTGTAATCAATATGGGTTATCCAATATTTGGATGAGCAAGGCTCCTTATTTTTCCTTCCTTAACGTTAATCACACTCTTGGATGGAGACAAATATCTGTGGGGGCTGAGCTTTGGGTCAGATAGATCCGGGTTTGCAATCCTGGCACTGCCATTTACTTAGCAGTGATGATCTCAGATAGATTATTTAGCATCTCTGAGACTTACTTCCTCAACTCTAAAATGAGGGGCTCAGACTAAATGATGTCTAATCCTTTCTCCAGTAAAACAATCCATGGTTCTCAGATAGCACTGTGCTGGAGGTGGTGGGGTTTGAGGGCTGGGAAGTTGGGAGGACTAAGCCTTTCCTCCTGAGCAGTTTTGTCCAGTTTTTCCTGTACCAGTCTGTCATGTTTATTCCATGTGAATGACTCCATGAGGCAAAATTCAAGCTTTTGAAAAGGGCACAAATTAACTTGGGCACCCTTTCATCTCCCTGTAGGTAAACACTCCTCCAGCCCTGCCTTTTGTCAGTCTGGAGCCCTTGTTCTAATCTGCACACACCAGAGGACTTTATAAGGCTTTCCCCAGCCTCCAGAATTATTCTTCTGATCCACCCCTGTACTAAACTCATTCTTTCCTCAGTGCCAAGGCCTTGAAAAACTGAAACAAGGCAAAGGGTCAACTGTAGTAATTCACACTAAGGCATGAGTGACTGGGTTTAATATATTAACACTACCTAGGATATTCTATTTTTTTCAAAAGGATCCTGTTAATCCTTGAAATTTAACAACTAATGGTATATATTCTAAGCACTGTGAGTACTTGTCAGTGGGGGAAAGACATTTTGGGGCTGAGAAATTTTGCCACTGGGAAGAAAGAGAGGATGAGGAGGAGAAGGGTGATAGGGAGGAAAAAGAGAAAAAAGAAAGAAAGATGCTTGGATGATAGATAGATAGATAGATAGATAGATAGATAGATAGATAGATAGATAGATAGATAGATGGATGGATGGCAAAAAATAATATGAGAGAGTGGTAAAAAGCACAGAATCTGGAACCAGGCTGTATCTTAGCTGGGTCACTTACTGTGTAACTTAGGGAAAGCTTCCTAGTCTCTTTGTGCCTCACTTTCTTCACCAGTGAAATGGGGATCATAGCAGAGCCAACCTCACAGAGTGGTTGTGAGGAGTGGATGAGCTGATAGGTACAGAGCACTTAGAACACGGCCTGGTGTGGAGTAAATGCTCCACAGAGCTAGCCATGTTGGCTGTCACCCACTTATGTGGCCAGCCTGTTGGTCTACCTCTGAACTGCCATGTAACAGGATTCTGGTGCTTTTCCTTCACCCAGGTCAGATAGAACCCAGGACCCATCCAACTTGGCTGCTTCACATTTTCATCCCCTCCTGCATCATCGCTTTCATTTTCATAGCCACAGTGATAGCCCTAAGAAAACAACTCTGTCAAAAGCTGTATTCTTCAAAAGGTAAGTGAGTTTTATTCATGGTAACCAAATGGACTGGGTGTCTGCAGCATGAGCCACTGCTTTGCACTGCGGGCCTACAGCTTCCTGGTTTCATGCTAAACTCACCCAGAGCTTACGAACCACTTTGAGTTTGTCTTGTTGATTATTTTTCCCCAGAAGAAAATGGCTCTCGTCGTCAGTGAGCTGAACTTCTTACATTGAGTTTTTTAAAGGGAATGTTTTGTTCTTATGTCTGAAAGAGTTTGTCTTATTCTTTGAGGCAAGAGCTTTCATCAGCCTCATGAGAGTGATGTTATTTGGCAATGCAGATAGCTACGTGCTCAGATTTTGCTGGTGGGAGGTTGCCAGGATCCTTTCTGAAGATTCCTTCCATTTTCACCCCTCTTTTCCCCAGTCTGGACATGAGCTGGGATAAACCCACCCCCTGTCTCCCAGGAATCTCAACCCCATAGTTGGGTAAGGAAAGGAGAAAGGTTTTTGAGGCCATTTGGGGATAAGGAAACAGCTGGTTGGTGGTGCCTTAACGTCTTTCAGCAGCTCCCTTCGAGTTTCTCCTTAGCCTGTTGTATTCTCACCAACACACTCCTGTTCTGTTGTACCAGCTGGGACAGAGCATGCTGAAGCCTTTGAGCTCTGATTTCATTGCTTCATTGTTCATGTGTCTGTCCTTGGTTTCCTGGGAGGAGCCTGCCCACAAAACTCCCAGGATGTATGCAGGCCTAGCTGGTGCTTTCCTAAACGGCTCCCTTGTCTGCACTCAACAGACTTCTCCAAAGATCTATACGCGGCCTCATCTATAGAAAAGGAAATGACATGTGGAAATAATTCAGTAGGAGTTTGCAGCAGCACTATCTGAGGACTAGGGGAATTTTAAGTGGTTGTTATCTTACATTTATATTCATAACTTCTATTTTCTCATCTGCCATAAAATATTGTCATGTTCTATTTGTCCGTTGCCCTATGTGTGTATGCATTCACTTGGGTGCTGACCACAATACTTCTAACTGTAGAATGCAAGGAATTGTTGCCAAAAGAAAAAGACAGAGGGAGGGAAGAAGATGGCGAGGGGAGTGAGGGAGAAAGAGAAAGCAGGAGATGGGGAAGAAGAAAGATAGAAAGAAAAATAAATGTGGAAGGGAAGAGAGCTTCATGGTAAAGGAGGTATCTCCAACAGAACTTTGACTTTTAAATAGAACCACTTCAGAGAGTTGTGTCAGATCCACCTCAGTTGTCTTATCTTCTGCCATTCTTCTTTTACCTCCCACACCCATACCTCTTGAAAATAGTCTTATATCAGAGTTCAAGGCCTAGGGCCTGAGGACTCCTTAAGCACTTCAGAAATGAGCAGCTGAGTCTTCCGTCCCAGCTCTTTGGGAGAATGGAATGGAGTCACACTCAAAGATAGAGTGTAAATAAATCCTCTCCTCATCCTTCACCCTAATTTAAGAGTGAGTGAGGATATCAGTAGCTCAGAGCTGGGATGTAAAGCTCAAATCCTAACTGTGATTAGGAGACCTTTGTTACAAATAAGAATTGAGTGAATAAATGTGCAAACAATTTCTTTTATATTTTTAATGAACCAGAGAGAAATCATGGTTGCCTATATAATCCTTGTCTCTAAATCATTTGCATTCAGATCTGCTTTCTTACATGTGTCTGCCGTGCACACAAACTTGTGTGCCATGGAAAAGGGTTGAGAACTGCTGGTGATGTAGACAGAGTTTTAAACCAAGGTCAGAGGGCTAGGCTGGGACCTGGTGCTGCCATTTATTGGCTCTCTGACCTTGTACAAATTGCCTGTCTTCTTTGAGATGGTCTTTCTATCTGTAAAAGGGGAAGCAGCAAGAGAAGGAACATTTTACAGCTTATTGGCTGAACTTCACTGCCATTAGTGTGGTTCAACTTGGACTACAGAGGAATCTTCCTAACTGGTTTCCCTGTATTCACTACTGCTACCTCCAACTTGGTGTGTTCTCACTTTTTGCTAGAATAGGCTTTTAAAAATCATAAATCTACCATATATCCTCTGTTCAGACCTTCTCCATGGCTTCCTGTTGCTCACTGGATGAAGTTCCAACAAGCCCAGGATGGTTTGACTCATGTCTCCAACTTTAACTGCATCACCATCAACTTCATTGTCTAAGCTCTAACCATACAGGATTTTCCAGTCCTCAGAGGCATCGCGGTCTTTCAATTCCAAGTTTTCTCATACAAAATTGTCTCTTTTTAAATACTTTCTTCTTGTTGTTCACCTGAGTTGGAGTCATCTTTTAAATCTCAGCTAGCTTATACTTCATCAAGTCTTTCCTAATTCTACCCACCACATACCACACCCATTACATTAAATCCCCTTATTATATGTTTCCATAGCACCAACTTCTTCTTTCAGTATACTCAGCACACAATCACAAGTCTAGGATCTGTTTTAATAGCTTGGGCTACCAATTAAATTGCATCCCTTTTAATTTTCCAATTAATTCCTCAAGCACCCACATGCCTATCTTAGCAAGAAGTTCAATGTCTCCCTCTTATAGCATGTACTTCTCCACCTCCCACAAACTGACAGAAAGCTTACTTAGCCCACAGGGCCAGTGCTATTTACAAACAGGCAGGAAGGCTACTAGGGAGCTAGGTTAGTCCTCCAGAGGGCCCTGGTTTTGAGCAGTTGCTGTCTACTCCTGCCATGTAGAATCTCTGGTCCTTCCAGGTGTCTCCATCCACTATGCAAAGGTAACCTTGCTGGTCCCAATCCCCACACAGACCACAGTGCTACAAGATTACAGTTCTTATGGTTCCCCAACACATGCTCTGTCATTGGTCCCAAAGCAGGACCCCAATGGGTTGATGAGGTAGGAGGGGATCCCTGCCTTAGCCACAGCTGTGCACAGCCAGCCTCTTCCCTTCTAGGCCCTCATGTTTAGCATGGGACACCAGTCCTAACTTCCTTCTCTTGAGTTCCTCTTAGGGCCATTGTTAAACTGAACTTCTTACTCCACTGCAAAGTTAAGTAAAGAGGCAGCAGTCTTGGTCCCTTTCCTTCCAGATGGCTTCTTAGCTCTGAACAGATTTACCCACCTTTACCTCAGTGACTAGCTCTGTGCACTAAAGGGTATTAGGAGGGCAGCCATTATTGGTCCATAAAAGGTCCTGTTTACCATTTTCCCCTAAGAGGAACCATTCAGCAGTTCAGGGCTCCAGGGTGACCTGCTGGGCTCTAAAGAAGAAGCTGGCAACTTCTGTTGCAAAATAATGTTAAATTCTGCTTCATCTGCTAGTTTCTATGTTTCAAGAGTACAGTAACTATGTTTCTCTGATTCACCAATACATGCCCGGTGACTAAAAAATTACCTGGCATATAATAAATGTTCAATAAAATTTTAAACATTGAACCTACAATATGCAGGTGAGTATGCTAGATCTGCTCTGTCCAATATAACAGCCATCTGTGGCTCTTTTTAAGTTAAATAAAAATTCAGTTCATCAGTCACATCTTAAGTATTCACACATTGTAAGTGTTCAATAACCATGTACAGATAATTGCTCCTGTACTGGACAGTGCAGATACACAACATTTCCATCACTGCAGAAAGTTCTACTGAAAACCACTGTGCTGGACCCTTTACAAACTTCTCACTTAATTTCACAAAAATTGCTTGTGGCAGGGAGAAGTGTCTTTATGCTGGGTGAAGCTCAGAAAAGTTATATGACTTCCCAAAGTCATACAGCTGGGATTTGAATACAGGTCTGTTTGACTCCAAAACTTGTGGCCTATTTGTTGCAAAAGTGTTTAATACAAAGTGATTCAATCAATATTATTATCTTTGAGCAATGGAAGGAGAAAGTAAGTTTCAATCCAAAAGAATTGAGTGACTTACACATTGACTTGCTGAGCCAATGGCAAAGTCAACTTAGAATCCAGTAGGAGTCACCAGCTACAGAATCTAGATCTTGAGAACAGGTCTTCAGATCTTCAGAACAATGTTTCTTAAACTCTCTTGTGAAGGACCAGTTATCATCATAGGCTGGTAACAGTTCACCTACCAGCACCAGCCCATGAACCAGACTCTGAGTGGCACAGCCCTAGAAGACTGAGCCAGAATTTTACAAAGGTTTAAAGACCAAATATGCTGGTTTATGGTTACCTGTGGCCCACAGAGAGTAGCAGCACTAACCTCAGGCATTAAGGAGGTACCCACTGAAGCCAACATTCAAGAGCAATTCCTATGGGTTAACCACTGGGCTCCTTTCAAATGCAAACCCTCATGAAAGAGACTACAGTGCTGAATAGAGACCCCCAAATTCCAAGCCAAGCTCAAGACAGTCATGAAGGAATTACTAAAAACCTGGTATAAAGGGCAAAAGCAGAATTAGGAATGGACTGATTTCAGGAACCCAGGCAATGGCAGGAGTTGGGCATTAAATCTCTTTCACTAAAAGAGAATCAGAGTGGGAGAGAATATGTGAAATCAGAGGTTAAGTAAAAAGTGAAAATCTATTCATGATTGCAAAGATATGAAACCAACCTAAGATCCCATTGATGAATAGGTGGATAAAGAAAATGTGGTATATATACACCATGGAATACTACTCAGCCATAAAAGAGAATGAGATAATGTGTTTTGCAATAACTTGGATGGAGTTGGAGGTCATTATTTCAAGTGAAGTAACTCAGGAATGGAAAACCAAATACCATATATTCTCACTTCTAAGTGGGAGCTAAGCTATGGGTATGCAAAGGCATACAGAGTGGTATAAAGGACATTGGAGACTCAGAAGGAGACAGTAGGGAGTGGCAGTGAGGAATTAAAAAGCTGCATATTGAGTTCAGTGTACACTACGTGAGTGATGAGTGCACTAAAATCTCAGATTTCACCAGTATACAATCCATCCATGTAACCAAAAACCACTTGTACCCCTAAACCTATTGATATAAAAAAAAATAAAAGAAAGATGTGAAACCAAGGAAAGTTACTGGTGAGCAGCATCCCATTATGTGAACTTGTGCTTCTGAACCAGTAACTTGAGTTACTTTGAACCAGTATCAGTCACTGATACCTTAGTGTAAATTAATTGATCAGAACTTCTGACCCGGGCCAGGGAAGGCAGGGTAGAAGTGGCAGTCAAGACTAAAGCAGAAAAGGGAGAGCTAATTCTGCAGCCAGACATTTCCTGGGTTGGATACCCAAATTAGTCCCTCAGCCTTTAAGTGCCTGAGGGCCAGGAGTAGACAGAGGAATGGAAAATGTGGGTCTTCTTTGTTCACACTCTTTGCCTAGGGGCCAGATTTTACATTATGCATTACTATCCTGAGGTCCCAGGCCACAGAGAACATTTGGGCTTCCATATGTGGATTTATCTAGATTTACTTTTTGTTCTGCCATATTTTAATCTATAAACCAAACAATTTTCTCATTAATCTTATTCCATTTCTGGAATTTTTCTTTTTCAGACACAACAAAAAGATCTGTCACCACGAAAAAGAGGGAAGTGAACAGTGCTGTGAGTAAGCATGATTTTTGCTTTTCTTTCTTACCTTCTTTTCTCTCTGAGTTTGAATTTTAAAGTAACCACTGTTCTATTAATTCGTGGAAGGCAACTGAATGGTTCCAGCTTATAGAATCTTCCTGTTTGGTAACATTTCAGCGAAGCCTTGTTCTTAGCCCCAGAACAATCATGCCATCTTTTGCTCGGTCTATATTCCTAAACATTCCCAGATGATACTGCACTGGACCTCTGGTCTCACATAGTTAGATATGGAGTTAAAATCTAACAGCAAAGAGAAGATATCCAACTGCGATGCAATTGACAGTGGATGTTTTTGCAACAAACAATGATTAAGAAGTACATTGTTGTGGGCTGTGAGTCAAGCGTAATATGGAGAAAACAGAAGTCTCTTCATGAGGTTGACAGGCTTGGAGCTGGAATCTGTGGAGGAGGAAGGATATGACCTAGGGGTCAGAAAAAGCAGGTTGCTAAAATCATTAAGCCTGGTTGGATGAAAAACTTAGACTCGGCCGGGCGCGGTGGCTCAAGCCTGTAATCCCAGCACTTTGGGAGGCCGAGACGGGCGGATCACGAGGTCAGGAGATCGAGACCATCCTGGCTAATACGGTGAAACCCCGTCTCTACTAAAAAAATACAAGAAAATTAGCCGGGCGAGGTGGCGGGCGCCTGTAGTCCCAGCTACTCGGGAGGCTGAGGCAGGAGAATGGCGTGAACCCGGGAGGCGGAGCTTGCAGTGAGCCGAGATCGCGCCACTGTACTCCAGCCTGGGGCACAGAGCGAGACTCCATCTCAAAAAAAAAAAAAAAAAAAAAAAAAAAAAAAACTTAGACTCAGGGGAAGCAGCACATGATTGTGGGGGCTGGCAAGTTGGAAATGTGTAGGGCAGGCCAGCAGTCTGGAAACCCAGGCAGGATTTCTATGATACAGTCTTGAGGCACAATTCCGTCTTTTCTGGGAAACCTCAGTTTTTCGCCCTTAAGGCCCTCAACTGATTGAATGAAGCCAACCTATATCATGAAAGGTAATCAGCTTTACTCCAAGTTAACTGATAGCAAATGATAATTACATCTACAAAATACTTTCACAGCAACATATAGACTAGCATTTGACTAAGCAACTGAGGACAACAGCCTAGCCAAGATGACACATAAAATTAATCATCACAGGCACCAAGAGATGAGGGGGACAGTCTTGGCCATATACTTGGCTGAAGTAAGTCAATTTGTCATTCCTGCCTGAGCCTTTATAAATAGAAGTAAGTAACCAACTACTATCTGGTCGTTGGAGTTGTCCAAGAGGCCAGGGTTCTGTCTAATAACTGCTCATGCATGAACCTGCCAACCTAGATTGCATGCAGACTACCAGTTTGGTGTTTTTGTTTAGTTCAGCAGGACTTTCTTCTCAGCTCACTGCCTCTCAAACTTTCAGCAACAAAAGGACATCTGTGATATCAGAATCTACCACTCTAAGTATTTGGATGCAATAGCAATGAATATCTGAGTAAATCTAGGTGGGGAGTGGGGGCACCCTGTAGCCAAAATGACTTAACAAAATCAAACCAAAGTTTTGAAAATGATGTCTTGGTTCAATGAAGAGATTACTTGAGGTAGGTTTGACTTATCTAATATCTTATTTTCTTTGTCAATACCTAATGAGGAATTTAAATATTTCTAGATAGCTTTGGAAAGGTCCCTTAAAGAGGCGCCAGCATACCACTGCCAGATCTAATCCCCCAAACACTGTTTTCATCATCATCATATCATCTCTTGTCTCTACAGATCATATCAAATCCTTCCCAGGGTTTTTCAGGCCTTTTGACAATTAGCCACATTTCACTAAGCCAACTCATCTACCACTTCTCAACAAAACTTTTCCTCAAGTCGAGCTGCTCCGCCAACACCACTGCCATGAGCTCATTCCCACTTCTGTGCCTTTGCTTACATTGGTTATTCTTTTGGAACGTCCTCCCCATTCCTTCTGACTTGTCCAAATCCCAACTTTTGGCATGGTCTACTTTAAGATACAGTAATGATTAACTTTATTATTATAACACCAGGCTTCTGTTCTAAGACATTAGAAGTGTGTTTAGACTAGCTCATTTAATCCTCATAGTAGCCCTCTGAAGTATTTACTCCCTGCTTCCCATGTTATAGGTGAGGAAGCAAAACATGAAGCGGTTAACTAACTTGCCCAAGGTATATGGCTAATAATATAAGGACCAATAAATTGATTCAGCAATCCAGGTGTCCAAGTCCAGAATCCACAACCATACACTACACTCTGCTTTTTTAAAATTTAATTTAATTTTTTTTAGAGACAGGGTCTTGCTCTGTCACCCAGGTTGGAGTGCAGTGGTATGACCGTGGCTCACTGCAGCCTCAACTTTTGGACTCAAGCGATCTTCCCACCTCAGCCTCCTGAGTGGCTGGGACTACAGGTGCATGTACTTCTTCCAAGACTTTTATTCAGATGAATATTTTCCCTTCCAACTTAAGAAGCAAAGGGCTTGCTGGTTTTGCTTCACCAACCAGCAACAGAAGCAAGACCTGACTTGTGAAAATGCCTAGTAGAGTTCAGTATTAGTGCTGTTTCACCATTTCCTGGATCTCTCGCCTTTGTGCACATGATAGAATTGCACTTCTCTGTAATTAATTTGTAGTGAAGTGTGGTCATGTAACTCACTTTCGTCAATTAAGGTGTGTGCCACTGTACCTGGATTTTTTATTTTTATTTTTTGTAGAACTGGGGTCTCACTATGTTGCCCAGGATGGTCTCAAACTCCTGAGCTCAAGCAATCCTCCTGCCTTGATCTCCCAAAGTGCTAGGATTCCAGGCATGAGCCACTGTGCCCAGCCTACATATACTATACTCTCTTGCTTAATCTGTAAGACTTTCTCCCCCGACTCATACCTTTCTATTTTTCCTCTGCATTGTACACACAATCTATACCATTCTTAAGCACATGATTACAGCATTATTTTCTGGCTGCTTCTATGTGTCTATATTTTAGGTCCACCTGGTCAATATAATAGTGGGATATTAGTGTTAATGCAACTATATGGTATTTGATATTTGTCTTGTTGTCCGTTTATCAATGCTTCTTACAGTTTATTATATGATAAATTTAAAAGGTGTCCAATTTTGACCAAATTTGACTCAATGCTAAAAAAGAATATCAAAATAAATTTTGTTTAATTTTAGTTGAGTCTATCAACTCAAAAAAGAACTACAACAATAACAAGTTTCAGAACATTTTTTAAATTACTGATGTTTTTATGAGTATAAAAATAAAAAAGTACAAAGAAAACAAAAATAATTTAGAATCCATTGCCCAGAAATTGCCATGGTTAAGATTTTAATATTGCTCAAGACCAGACAGCTCAGGGCTTTGACGTTCTCACACCCATTCTCTGCCATCCAAGTTCTATCCCACCCCAAAACCATCCATTATGAGGAGACTGTACAGCTGTAGGCTGCCCGGGAACCATCCTGCACTCTCATATTGTGACTCAGCATCTTGGGAGATGGAGTCTTGAGACTTGGCCTGGACATGTCCCTTGCATGTACTTCTTCCAAGACTTTTATTCAGATGAATATTTTCCCTTCCAACTTAAGAAGCAAAGGGCTTGCTGGTTTTGCTTCACTAACCAGCAACTGAAGCAAGACCCGACTTGTGAAAACGCCTAATAGAGTTCAGTATTAGTGCTGTTTCAGCATTTCCTGGATCTCTTGCCTTTGTGCACATGATAGAATTGCACTTCTCTGTAATTAATTTGTAGTTAAGTGTGGTCATGTAACTCACTTTCGTCAATTAAATGTAAGCATAAGTGATGCGTGTTATTTCTGAGTAGAAGATGTAAGAGTTGGCACGTGCTTTGCCGTATTTTCTTTATCCATCTGGCATGGTAACCAGTAACATTCTAGGTAGTAATTGCTCCATCAGTCTCAGTCTCTGAGTAACTAAAATTGACAGAGTCCCCTGGTGATCCTCAATGTACAAGGAACATGAGCAAGAATAAGCTTTTGTTTTTTATATTGAGATTTTGGAGTTGTTTGTTCCTACAGCATTACCTAGTTTACTCTAATACAACATGGAAAAAACTGGAACCTGTAATAAATAGACCCTACATTGCATTTAAACTTCTATTTCTGAGGAATAATAATGTGGGGAAATACTTTCTATATAATAAAAAAATAGAAAAATTGCAAAATAAAAATATATTTATGTATCATTCATGTTCTATTAAAAATGTTATTTATAGACTCACTATATTCCCTTCCTCCAGAAAAATAGAAGTAAAAATATGAAAATGCCTGTAATTATGTCTTTGGATTATGGAACCATGTATTGCTTTTTACTTTTATGTTTTCTGAATTTTATTTTTGAGTGCCCTGATATATTACTTTTACAAAGAAGAATACTTTCTGAAGCCATTTCAACCATCTCCACTCACCTCTCTAGATCCCAGTAGTTAAATACATTATATAGGACTCTTCATCAGTCCTTATCAACTTTAGGAAGGGCAATGCTATACCTTCTTTAAAAGACACCTACCAATGTCTTAGTTACCTTTCAAAGATTCCTAGCACAGCTAAATGTGATGGATATGCTCTAAGGATGTACGAGCTGAAGCGACTTGCATAAGGTCATCTCATAACTTACTGTTAGAAATGGAGCTAGAACTCAGACCCACTGAGTCCTTGTCTGTGACACACTGCCCTTTCCATTTGTGGAAGTTGTTCTTGTATCTAATTTTACTTGTGCTGCTATCTGGGCCTATGCCATTCTCCCTCTTATGCAGACAAGCAGATAAACAATAAAACTTTAGGAGTGGGTTATGATACCATAGATATATATCATCTATCCTTTACAAAATAGTTATTACAGTCATCAAGCCTTGGTTAGAGTTTACAGACCATGTATCCTAGCTACCTCATTTCACAGATTATGACATTGGGGGCTAAGAGATATTAAGTGACTTCCTTGAGTGAAACAGTAGCAGACCAAAAAAAGTCATGATTCCCAGCATAATGCTACTCACTCATTTATTCATTCATTCACCCACTCAAAAACGTGTATTAAGAGTCTGCTATTTGCAAGACCCTGTCAGTTAGGCCATGTGGGAACTAGAAGGATGAATTTATCAGTCATCCAAGATTCTTATAATAAAATATTACAGATAAGGTACTCAAGATTAACAGTTCTCATTCACATAATTTGGGTTAAAACAAGAAGCCAGCTTTCTATATGCTTTTGCATATAGAAAGACTATATGGCAGTCTTTATGTTTTTTTGTCTGCTTTGTTTGTTTTCTTGAGTATCCTGTCTTCTTTCTAAGAACTTCCACCTGAGAACTGACCACAGCGTCAGCATTCCACATGGGCGTGTTTCCTCTCCCCTTTCCCATTTCAGTGGTTTCCAATTTCTTTTTCTTTTGCCATTATAAATCTTTTGCAAAGGAAATATTAGACAGAACTCCTACATGTCTAGCAAATTAAAATAGTGGTGAAATTAGAGTGGAGGATATAATCACCCTACCATATGTCCCTACAAAGGCCTCTAAGGCAGGGGTCCCCAACCTCTGGGCCACAGACCAGTACCAATGGCCTGTTAGGAACTGAGCCACACAGCAGGAGGTTAGCAGCGGGCAAGTGGCCGTTACTGCCTGAGCTCTACCTCCTGTGAGATCAGCAGCAGCATTACATTCTCATAGGGGCATGAACCCTATCGTGAACTGCACATACAAAGGATCTAGGTTGTGTGCTCCTTACGAAAATCTAATGTCTGATGATCTGAGGTGGAACAGGTTCATCCTGAAACTATACCCTACCCCGACTCCCACACCCAATCCATGGAAAAATTGTCTTCCACGAAACCTGTCCCTGGTGCCAAAAAGGTTGGGGACCACTGCTCTAAGATACCTTGTGCTTCTTGGAACGTATTTGGAAAATCATGTCGCTCTCAAATTATCCCTATATCCTGAAGCCCACCTTACTTACCAATCCACAGAAATGCCCAACCCATGTCAGGCAACTTCACACTTTCTTTCTTCAGGCAGCACCGTTGTCTCAGGGAGGGAGGAGGGTACTATTAGCAAGAGGAGTCACTAACAGCTTCACTCACCTGTGCCCATGAATTTTTAATGGTGTGAAAAGTCTGTGTATTTTTTATGGTTCTCTGTAGCTCATATAAGAGGGACAAACAATACATGAATACAAACAATACATGAGTTCAGAGATGGGGACAAATATCACTTTAAGCTGAGGATAATCAGGGAAGAAGAAAGGTTTCATGGGGGAGATGACTTTTGAACCAGGAAGAAATGGAAACAGCAGACTATTCTAGATAGAGGAGACACTAAGAGGAAAGGCAAAGAGGCAGGAAGGTATGGGAAAGTGCACTTGATCCCGTTCAGAGAGAAAGCCAGGTGTGAGATAAGGGGGAAAGACTGTTAGGGGACGTATTATAAACCATTCATTCCAGGCAAAGGTTAGATTTTACTTACTAGGCAAGAGTGCTTCAGTTAGATCCTAGCAGGAAATGGAGGGCATGCTTAGAATAGGTAACTGAGGCAAGTTTAATGAAGAGACTATTTACAAAGGTGTGTGCAGCATTAAGGGAAACCAGCAAGGGATGTTGAGCATGCCAGGATGTAACAGCAGGTAGGGAAGGTGACTATCCCTAGGTCTCAAGGAGAAAGGGGAGGGAGCAGTTCCCAGAACCCTAGTAAAAATGGCAATGAGAAAGGTCCATCTGGCAGGACCTGTGGCCTTTAACAGAGGGACAAAGTCAACCTACAACTTGTCTGGGTGGTTGCTGAGGAATAGATACCCCAACCTCGCTCTTAGCCCATTGCAACCCACTTTTTCACCTAGACTGAGCCCAGTCAAAGACAGAGGGAGGAGTCCAGTGATGTAGTCTACAATGTCATCATCCTGGAGCATGAATAGAGTGCAGCAGGGTGAATAATGAGTTTGCAGGAACTAATAGAAATATCTGACACAATAGGAAACTATAAGAGGTTTTGAATAGGATAGGCCCCTGAAATGTGCTCCAATATTACTGAGCTATGTGTGGCCCATAGAATGGAAAAGGAACGGCTCTTGCAATAGGTCTGAGGAGAGAAGCTGAACACTTGGACTAGGGCAATGGTAAAAACTGTGGAAAGAAAAGATTTTAACGAAAAGTTTTAAACCATGCTGCTTCCAGCTAGATGAACATTTTTAAAAAAATTAGTTCCTCACTCAAATTTTGGGGAAGTTATATATTTTCTAATCATAACAAATGATTTTTCTTGTTTGTGGGCTTTTCTCCCCAGATCTGAACCTGTGGTCTTGGGAGCCAGGATGACCTGATGTGACATCTAAAGAAGCTTCTGGACTCTGAACAAGAATTCAGTGGCCTGCAGAGCTTGCCATTTGCACTTTTCAAATGCCTTTGGATGATCCAGCACTTTAATCTGAAACTTGTAACAAGACTAGCCAGCACCTGGCCATGAAACTTGCCCCTTCACTGATCTGGACTTATCTCTGGAGCCTATGGCTCTGAGCAAGCACGAATGCACTTTACAAAATTACCCCACTGGATCCTGGACCCACAGAGTGCCTTGAGGCTCCTTCTTGCTGCCAGACTGAAAGCAAAAGGAATTATTTCAAGTTTCCTAAATGATTTCCAAAAGCAGAGATGTGTGGAAATTTCCAGTTACAGAAACAGATGGGTTGCCAATAGAGTTATTTTTTATCTATAGCTTCCTCTGGGTACTGGAAGAGCCTATTGAGACTATGAGCTCATAGATAGGGCTTTGCACAAACTCAAATCATAATTGACATGTTTTATGGCTTACTGGAATCTTGACAGCATCTGAAGTTGTTATAATTAACAGAGAGCATTTAAATATACACTAAGTGCACAAATTGTGGAGTAAAGACATCAAGCTCTGTTTTTGAGGTCTAAGTCACAAAGCATTTGTTTTAACCTATAACAGCACCATGTTTAATGGTGGTTGTTTCTGTTTAAACTACATCTTTCCTTTAGAAATTCTTGGTTTCTTTTTAATTTTTTTACCTTAGAAATCAACGATATACAGTCAAAAATATTTGATATGCTCATACGTTGTATCTGCAGCAATTTCAGATGAGTAGCTAAAATGGCCAAAGTCCCAAACTAAGGTTCCTTTTCTGGCCCTCTATATGACTTTAAACTTGAGCTTTCAGTGCCTCAGTTGGCACATCTGTGATACAGCAATGCTAAGTAGTCAAGGCCTTTGATAATTGGCACTATGGAAATCCTGCAAGATCCCACTACCTATGTGTGGAGCAGAAGGGTAACTTGGCTACAGTAACGGCTTTATTTTGTTAAATTTGTTCTTCATACTGGAGCCATGAAGCTCAGAGCATTAGCTGATCCTTGAACTATTCAAATGGGCACATTAGCTAGTATAACAGACTTAGGTAGGTGGGCCTAAAGCAAGCTCCTTAACTGAGCAAAATCTGGGGCTTATGGGAATGAAAGGGTGTGAAATTGACTAACAGACAAATCATACATCTCAGTTTCTCAATTCTCATGTAAATCAGAGAATGCCTTTAAAGAATAAAACTCAATTGTTACTCTTCAACGTTCTTCACATATTCTACTTTTGGGTAAGAAGTTTGCTCAGGGTCTTGCAAGTCAGTAAGGTTAATATCCTGTTATGCCATTTGGCTCCCAAAGATTTGAAGGCCTTTGAGGCAAACTTGGATGTACTTTTCAGGAGGGTTGGGTCCTAGGGATGCTTGATCTGGGGTTCCTGCTGGAGGAGGAGCACTTCCTAACACCACAGAGAGCAGGGCAGGAGACAAGGCCTTCTTCCCTGGAAGAAAGCCCAGCTATGCTACCCCTACCCCCACCCATGCCCCAGATATGTGATGAATGTGCTGAATTCTTGGGTGGTTTTGTTTAACTCTGCTAGGAACCCAGTGGCATAATGGTTTCTGTCAAAATATTTCCATCTTTGTTCCTAGATTGGGGCTCTCTTTTAGAATACCAAATAGGGAAAGGGTACCCTAGCTGTATTATCCTGAAATCTGGGTTCTGTCAGGAGAGAACATCATAAGGCATTATGTCTTAGCTTCAGAAATTTTCTATACTACAGCATGCTATCTTAACACCTAACGTTTATCAAGTACTTGCTATTGCCCAATATTGTTAAGCATTTTACACATACTATTGGAACGAATCATCCCCACTCTCTGAAAAAGACACTATTAATGACTCCATTTTACAGATAAGGAAAGGCAGAGAGAGGTTAAATAATTTGGTTAAGGCTGCTCGTTCAGTTTGAAAGGGATGGAGTCAGAGCAACAAACCTATATTTTTCATTACACATCATAATGTGCCCTGATTTCCTACCATACGGGGTTTAAAGTGGTATTTTTATACTGTGTAGTCTCTTTGCTAGTCAATAATTAATTTCAGAAACAACAGATGCTGGCGAGGGTGCAGAGAAATAGGAACACTTTTACACTGCTGGTGGGAGTGTAAATTAGTTCAACCATTGTGGAAGACAGTGTGGTGATTCCTCAAGGGTCTAGAACCAGAAATACCATTTGACCCAGCAATCCCATTACTGAGTATATACCCAAAGGATTATAAATCATTCTACTATAAAGGCACATGCACATGTATGTTTATTGCAGCACTATTCACAATAGCTAAGACTTGGAACCAACCCAAATACCCATCAATGATAGACTGGATAAAGAAAATGTGGCACATATACACAATGGAATACTGTGCAGCCATTAAAAAAAGGATGAGTTCATGTCCTTTGTAGGGACATGGAAGAAGCTAGAAACCATAATCCTCAGCAAACTAACAATGGAACAGAAAACCAAACACCACACGTTCTCACTCATAAGTGGGAGTTGAACAATGAGAACACATGGACACAAGGAGGGGAACATCACACACCGGGGCCTGTTGAGAGGGCAGGGGGAAAAGGGAGGGAGAGCATTAGGACAAATACCTAATGAATACAGGGCTTAAAACTTAGACGACAGGTTGATAGGTGCAGCAAACCACCATGGCACATGTATACCTATGTAACAAACCTGCACATTTAGCACAGGTATCCCAGAACTTAAAATAATAATAATAATTAATTTCACTCTTTTCCAGGGAAGTGCTATAGGAGTATAGGTGGTGTGTGGGTTCTGGCATCAGAGATTCAAACCCCAGCTCAACTAGGTATGAGTTATACAACTTTGAATATATTGGTTGACCTCTAAGCATCAGTTTACTTCAATATAGTGAGACCTGGCTGGGCGCGGTGGCTCACGCCTGTAATCCTAGCACTTTGGGAGGTCGAGGTGGGTGAATCACTTAAAGCCAGGAGTTCGAGACCAGCCTGGCCAACATGGTGAAATCCCATCTCTACTAGAAATACAAAAATTAGCTGGGCATGGTGGCACATGCCTGTAATCGCAGCTACTCAGCAGACTGAGGCAGGAGAATAGCTTGAACCTAGGAGGTGGAAGTTGCAGTGAGCCGAAATCACACCACTGCACTCCAGCCTGGGCGACAAGCCAGACTCTGCCTCAAAAACAAAACAAAACAAAACAAAAAAAGCATATATATGATAAACTGATACCCCATCTCTGCAAACAATTTTTTAAATTTTTTTTTTTTTTTAATTTAAAGGGGCCAGGTGCAGTGGCTCACGCCTGTAATCCCAACACTTGGGAGGCTGAGGCGGGTGGATCATGAGGTCAGGAGTTCAAGACCAGTCTGGCGAAGATGGTGAAACCCTGTCTCTACTAAACATACAAAAATTAGCTGAGAGTGGTGGCAGGTGCCTGTAATCCCAGCTACTCAGGAGGCTGAGGCAGGAGAATCACGTGGACCCAGGAGGCAGAGGTTGCAGTGAGCCAAGATCACGCTACTGTACTCTAGCCTGGGCAACAGGGCAAGACTCCGTCTCAAAAAAAAATGAAAGCAATTATCTTTCTCGGTTTATCATGACGATTTTGAGCACAGGTTTTGTCATTCCCCTTAGACTCCTAGAGAGCAGAAAAGGAGTGAGATTTTTGCCACGTACCTGGTACATGATAGGTATCTCATGCATGGTCACCTCTGAGACTCATTATATATTGGGAGAATGGCTACTATTAACACTTCTACTTTTTTTTTTTTTTTTTTTGAGATGGACTTTTGCTTTTGTTGCCCAGGCTGGAGTGCAATGGCACAATCTTGGCCCACAGCAACCTCCACACTCCCCCCACAGGTTCAAGTGATTCTCCTGCCTCAGACTCCGGAGTAGCTGGGATTACAGGCATGCACCACCATGCCCAGCTAATTTTGTATTTTTAGTAGAGGTGGGATTTCTCCATGTTGGTCAAGCTGGTCTCAAACTCCCAACCTCAGGTGATCTGCCTGCCTCAGCCTCCCAAAGTGCTGGGATTACAGGCATGAGCCACTGCACCCGGCCAACACTTTTACTTTTTATGGCCTTGATATAATGGGCTAAAACACATATAATGACAATCCTTAAAAAACTTAGATGAGTTATAAGTCTGGAAAAAAAAAGTACTTTTTACAAAAGGAGCAAAAATAGCATTCAGGAGAGTTTGAGGAATTGAGAAAGACTAAACAAACAAAAATCACCTATGATCTCATCAAGCACAAACACTTTCATCTTTGCTGTTTGTTTCTGATCTTTGTCCATTTATGTATTTAAGTTTGGCTATGGTTGTAACATGTAATTTTCTATACTTTAAAAAATTTGGGGCTGGGCGCAGTGGTTCACGCCTGTAATCCCAGCACTTTGGAAGGCCGAGGCGGGCAGATCACCTGAGGTGGGGAGTTCAAGACCAGCCTAACCAACATGGAGAAACTCCGTCTCTACTAAAAATACAAAATTAACTGGGTGTGGTGGTGCATGCCTGTAATCCCAGCTACTCGGGAGGCTGAGGCAGGATAATCGCTTGAACCAGGGAGGCGGAGGTTGCATCGAGCCGAGACAGCACCATTGCACTCTAGCCTGGGTGACAAGAGTGAAACTCCATCTCAAAAAAACAACAAAAACAAAAAGAAAAAGAAAATTGTCATCTACCATAAGCTCACACTTATGTTGCTGACAAGTGTTCCTAATTTTCATTTTTAATGGCTGCATAATATTCTACCAAGTGGCTGTGACAAAATTTAATTAACTGTTCCCCCTATTAATGGAAGATTACAGTTGCTTCTGGATTTTTTGCCAGTTTAGTTACAAGCTTTTGTGCTGGATATCCTCCACTTGACCCTCCAGATCCATTCTCCAGCCTTCTCCTCCCTGTTTTGGGTCCTATGAGGCTGACTTGTATGGACTATATCAATGGGCTCCATTGCTGTCTGGCTTTTGATTGGGTTCAGCCAATGGGGACACTGGCAGGAGATCAGAGAATGGGAGAACAGTAATGCCAGGGTACTCATTCCCCAGGCTTTCCCTCTCCAGGGTCACTGCTGGTTGGATAATTCTCTCAACTAAAGGTCGCAGCTCTTGTTGAATGACCCTTTCCACATGGCTGCATCTGCCTGTGGGTTCCAGTAACTGCTCTCTCCCATCCCCTTTTCATATCTGGGTGCCTACGTGTCCCCTCACCCCTGCAACAAAGACACACACGTGTGAAAACACACACACACACACCTGTTCCTGCTAGCCCTTGGGTACTACACTATTCCTTAGAGTTCCCTATACCCGGCCCACGCCTCTACAAAGAATCTCTTTAATTAGCTCTCAAATTATGCAGTTCAATGTCCTAAATGATATATCATGCTATTTCAGATAATGCATGTCTTTTTACATCTAATTTCATAAGGATGGGTACCTGAAAAGAGAATTATGGAGTCAAAGAAATGTGAACACTTCAGGCTCTTGAGTTCATACTGTCAATTTACTTTTGAAAAGGATCTGTTTGCATTTCTACCAGTGCATCCTTCCAGCACTGGATATTTTTAAATATAATTTTGCTAAGTCAATAGGTTAAAAAATGGTACTTTATGGTAATTTAAGTTTTCATGTCTTGGATTACCCTTAAGTTTGCTTATAAAACCTAGTTCTTGCTGTGCACATTGTTATTCTGGAGTTTGTTTAAATCTGTTCCTCCCTTCCCCACTCATTCTCTAATTGTATAATCTATTTCCTTCATAATTCAATTTTTTAGAAGATCAACTTTTTAAAGCCTCAATGTCTTCATCTATTTACAGATATCCTAATAATAACACCTCTCTCACAGAATTATTGTGAGAATTAAATGAAAATAAGCATGTAGCATATAAGAAGCATCCAAGAAACATGAATGCTTTCCTCCTTAATAATTATGCATGGAGTTTAATTGACAAATTATGTCTATTTTTTGAAAATATTGTGTCAGTTTTCTTTCAAGTTTATATTGAAATTTACCTTATAAAATAATATTATAGATGAGCAGAACAATTCAATATTATCCAGATTTGTTTTTATATATTACGTGACTTTAGAAGATTTGTAACCCTTTTAAGCCAAAATCTTAAAAACTGTATTTATTTATTTATTTTATTCTATTTTATTTTGAGACAGGGTCTCACTCTGTCTCCCAGGCTGGAGTGCAATGGTGCAATCATGGCTCACTGTACCTTGACCTCCCAGGCTCATGTGATCCTCCCACATCAGCTTCCTGAGTAGCTGGGAGTATAGGCACATACCACCACACATGTGTTATCTCAGGTCTGGTTTCTATTATACAGATCAAGTAATGCTTTGGTAGGCTACACATCTATTATCTATTTAATTCTTTTGTGTGTGTGTGTGTGTGACAGAGTTTCACTCTTGCTGCCCCG